AGACTCATAAGACAATCCTAGTTTTCGAATAACCCTTTTCATATCATTAAATGAATCTGGTAGTTTGGCATGTGTAAATGCTTCATTCAGCAAATCAAGCACCATGGATATCCCCTTGTCACTAATCCCACACATACACTTGATATGGTACAACTTCAATAAAAAGGACAACTTCGTGAATTTAGTGCATCCAGTATATAACTCTTGATTATAATCAGCAAAAAACTCATCAAAAACCTCTCCTTTTCCATGATTTCCACTTGAAGTTGATGGTCTATCAGTGTCCAAAGGTTGCTCTAATGATGCAGGTCCATTTTCCCCAAGCACATTAATATCAGGAAAAAGATCATCCAAGAGATTCAAAGTTGAATCTAATTCAYTCGGAGCAGTATCAGAAMGTACTCTTGCATTRATTGTGACAGAATCCTCTCCATGTAGTAACCAACTGGTATAAGTACTTAAAAACCCAAAACACATTAAATCCCCATCAATATCTTCTCTTGACTTCATTTTCGTTAGAACACAACGGTTACATGGACACTTCATCATGAATGCATTTGATCTACCAAATGCAAAATCCAAGAAAATTTTCACTCCTAATATGTATTCTTGAGATAACCGTGATTTGGTTATCCCTGACTTATCCATCGAAACCTAAAAAATTGTTTTGCACAATCTGTAAGTTTCAAAAGCTCACAAAACAAACATTAAATTTCAAGTTCTAAGCAAGAAATAAAGATATAAAAAAACATTGTTAAGAACAAAGCAGTGAAGAAAACACTTTTGAGTTGGATAAGAAGACAATTTGAAGGGTCTCTCCTCTATGTCTCTACGTGTTTGTTTCTACGTGTCGGCACGCTCCGAGCATTCATGGCTGAATCCGGATTCTATAAACGACAAATGTGACAATTGGGAACTCAGCTATTTCTTCGTGAAAATCGACGCTGCCTCCATCGAGAATCCGAGATGGCTGATTCGTTCTGGCTGGAATATCATAATCAGTATACTTAACGTTTCATTGTGTTTCAGGTTTACTAGTTTAGTCTGACACCTAATCTTTCTCTTTTGTTCACAGATTATCCGGTTCCCTCGATCCTGACCGCTCTGAAACCTGGCGAAAACTAGCTGATTCCTCTCTTGAAGAATTTGGAACCTCAACTCAAGCCGGAATTCCTTGAGCAAAGGATCCAGATATGTCAAGCACGGATTACGACAGGTTCGTTTCTCGGGTTCAATTTTTTTCGATTCTAGGTTTGAGCGGACTGTTTGTTGAAGACCATTTTTGCTTCGTCGTATAGGCTGCTATACTCTCGAACTCGCTTCTCTCAGGCCGTATACCTTTCCGCCGTTTAAACCCAAAAAGCTGCGTCAAAGGAAGGAGAAAACAATGGTCAAGGCAAAGTTCAAAAGGTTAATTACACCGACGTCGCCCAGAAGAGTCCGGTCCTGGGCAAAGGGGCTGATGAAAACGCTGAAAAAGCCAGGCCTTCGGCTGGCGCTCAAGGGGCGCCCAAACGCGTCTCTTCGCATATCAAGAAGGCCGCTGAAACTTCCTTCACTGCAAAGAAGGCTGGAAAGCGCGTGGCTGACCCTTCTGCTGAGGCCGCAAGAAGAGGCCTTCGGAGGCCGCTGCTGAAGGGTCGAAGAAGAAGCAGCGCATCGTGGAATCGATGCAGAAGACCATGGCTGAGGAGGAGGTCGCTGATGCTGGATCTGAGGAAGACTCGGCGGCTTATGATCTTTCGTTTAACTTCAAAGCGAAAGATCACATTGCGTCTATTCCTCACACATGTGCTGAACTTTACTCCAAAATCCCTTGCTGTACGGTGTACACCATTCCGGAGCCGGATGACTTAATCGAGAGGGAGGCGTATCAGTTGTTCACGGAGAGCGTGATGGAGGTATTACTTTTGCTGCTTGATGTTCTATTCTTTTTCAATCCCTCCTTCTACTTTGCCTCCGCTTATCGATCTTCTTTTGACAGATGCTCACACAAGAGAACTTGATCATCAAAAATTACGACCGTCGGTCTCGGGGGCTTTTGAAAAAGCTCGAAGATTATCCCAGCGTGAAGTAGGAAGCCAAGAAGGTGCCCGATCTTGAGAAGAAGGTCGCAGCGCAGATCACCGCGCTGAATGATCTGTCAAAGAAGGCTAGGAAAGCAAGAGAGCGGGTAAAATATGTCGAGGTAGAGCTCGAGAAGATAAAGGCGGAAAAAGAGTCTATGTAATCTTTTTACGAGCAGGAGACGGCTCCTCTGCGGTCTTCTCGAAGGCACGAGGTCAATCAGATCATTGCGAAGTGCGATGCTAAGCTTCTGAGGATTAAGAAGTCGATCTTGGACAACGAGGAGGCGAATAGGCATGGTGGCTTAATGAACCAAACGATGGCTATCAAGGATTACCTCGCTGGTTTTAAGAACCAAACGTTTGATGGATTTTATTTATGTTCATTTCTTTTGTGCGTGTTGCGATAGCGAATTTTGATTGCATAGACCGTCGTTCGTCCAAGCTAACGGGTTACGTACTTAGGTATATCTAGGTCGTTTTATTTGTCCGCGACTCTGAGGTCGGCTTATGACGGGATTCTTTACGTGGCTAAGTGTGCGAGAATGACTCGGCTTAGGATACTTAGGCGCTTAGAATCAGTTGCGGGTCTGGCCTCGGCTTACAGGTCGCTAGTGGAAGTTTAAAGTTTCCGTCTAGCGACGTGGTTGATCAGACTACTTTTGTTCGCGTGGAACGTAATTTGGTCAAGTGTTTGGCCAGAGCATTGACGCGAGATATGAGCTCGGGGCTTATCCGGTCTAGATGAGCCAGTGCACGGAATGTATTGAAAATACTTAGAAAAATTTGAAGATTGAAAATATATATTTCTTTGAACAATAGTTGTGCCTTCTTACGGGATGCCTACGTACCCATTATGATAGGACTAGGTCGTCGACGTCAAAACTTCGGTTGCAGACTCGT